TTAGCAACACACAGCAGCTGGCTTGGAGGAAATCCAGACCCAGGAGAGATTCCAGCTGCCATCTTCCCCACCCACACCAACCCACCAAGAGCATCCCGCAGGAACCAGCGATTCCTTCAGCCTGGATGCCAGCCCCGCTCCTTCCACCTGCTTCTCTAGTGACCCAAGCAATCCCAGATGCCAAAAGCAGAGGGTGCCAGGGCGAGGGGGGTGTCCTCACCTTGTGGTGCTGCTTGACGATGTTCACCAGGTTGCGGTTGAACTCCTTCCTGCGCTCCAGCAAGCGCGATGCCGACAAGTGTGGGCGGCCGTCCACTTTCTCCTCTGCCAGGAGAGACGCGAGCATCACCGGTGGCATCTCGGCAAAGCGCGGCAGTGCCACGCCGGGGCCCGATCCTCACGAGCCTCGGGAAAGGCAGGATCAGAGCTCCGCCATGGGGCTGAGTCGCTGCCAGGATCACTGCCCTATCATCCTCCCGCTTGTCCCACAAGTGTTTTCCACTTCCAACACACTCAGGCCCTTTTGTGTCAGATGATTATCCAACAGAGCAGGCAGAGAACATCCCCGGGGATTCAGGGATCCCAGCCAGGACCGAGCGCAGGAAACCCTCCGGGCCATACGTACCTTCCCCCAGCACCGGCTCCAGCGTGAGCTGGTAGTCAGACTTCTTCACGCCATTGCTGAAGGTGGGGATGTTCCTCTCCCGGCGCAGCCTGTACGAGGTGGGGTACACCGCCTTGATCTGCCCCACGTGCCTCTCCTCGAACTGCCTGCAACAGCACCCGGGGAGGTCAGGAACCCCAAGGGCTGACACCCGACAGCTTCAGCTGGCTCCCCGAAACGGGCTGCCCGTCGCTGCCAACTTACCTGCGCATCATGTCCTGCACCCCCTGCTTGACCTTCGCGAAGGTGATGGTCTCGGCACGGTTGAAGAGCATCCCGGCGATGGTGTCCACGCTGCGGAACATCTCCGCCAGCACCTTGAACTTGTAGGGCAGCGTGAGCCCCGGGGGCAGGTCCTGGGCGAGGGTGTGGAACCGCTGGTACGCGGGGGGCTTCTCACTGCTGGGAAAGGAGAGGGGTCAGGGTCCCCCCAACACGCAACAGCCGTGGGTTGTGGTGAACGCAGCGCTGGGACAGCCCCGAGGATGCAGGGGGGACCATGACAGGCCAGCACAGGGGTCCCACTGCCAGCAGGGCCGACCTCAGAGCCCCAGAGCTGTGTGCCCACCCTGGTTAGGGGAGACTCCTCTCCTCCCCCATCCCAAAACTCTTCTCCGAGCAAGCTGTGCCAGCACCTGGGTCACATCCCACCCTCCATGCCCTGGGGACACAGATGCCTCAATGCTCATGGCACAGTCAGGGTGGCTCGAACCACACTCAGAGAAGCCCTTTGCATGCAGCGGGGCCGCTCCAGCAGAGCCCCCACACCCCCTTCATGGGGGAGGGAAGACCCCTGCGAAACCGCTGTGGGGGTGATTGGTGGAACGGGGCTGCAGCAGTCACCGGGACACCCCCGGTTCCCCTCAAAGCTGCTCCTCACCCGGCCTCTGCCGCAGGAGCTGCTGCCCCGGTGTCCCCAGACGGCTGCGCTCCCGGCGCGGCTCCACTTCCCGCTTGCTTCTGGTGGATCCGCTGCTCCAGTTGCCGCACTCGCTCCAGATGGCTCCGTAGGAGGGTGCTGGCTTCGGCGGGGACAGAGGGCAGCTGGGCCAGCTGGGTCAG